CCCCAAAACCCCAAAACCCCTTAAGCAGAAAATAATTATTTAAAGAGAAATTGGAAATATAATTTGATATAAAAAATTAAGAAAAATGAGAGCCCGTATTCCAACTCCTCGCTAATCAGAGCATTCTGAGCAAAAATAAGCATTACATCTTCCAAAGCCATACAAACTAAGAAGATACTATCTGCCTTCTGAGGTTGCCCACCACAATACCAAAGATGATTGCTGGGTTTCTTTCTTCAATCAAGTCTTTGATCTAACGTAACTCCTGCAAGAGAATTTCACAAGTGAACTTTGCGATCCAATAGTCTTAAACGCAGGAACTGACATTACTCATTGGTTTGATCCCTTGACTAAAGAGGTATTTAAATAGCATTTACTAATTGCAAATTAAAATTATAGCCAAAAACATACATTGATCCAGTAAAGTGTACAACTTAAGTCTACTCCCCAATTGGTAGATATTTGCACATTCCATCCCAAGAACCTGACTCTGACTCCGCCTCGATTCCTTTCACTACTCCATGGTGGAGAGATACTACTAAATATATGATAGGCAACCTTACCTTCAGAACTAGAAAGATCAGAATAATCAATATGCTCACTAAGCATGATGATATTTTAGAGGTATATTAAAGAGACTTGACACCATATCGTTTTAGGTGGCATCTGAAGAGACAATCAATGAAATTTTAGATAGATATATTGAATTGAATATGCACTGTGCCTCATACACATGGAAACGTTTAGGCAGAGTGCTGGACATGAGCAAGACCCTAGCAGAGAACGAAATCCCCGATGAGACTGACGAGCTAATAGAACTGGGCATCGACGTAGAAGATTATATTCCTGCTATTCATTTGTACTTTAATGATGATTTAACAATAGCATGATTAAATAAAACAGATTGAGAAGTTATTTAAAATTTAATATTTAAGAAATTAAAGTTTAATTAAATTATCTTCTTTAATATTAAAGGGAACTCTTAGTTTATTGGCTGAATTGTCTATATAAGTTTGGGCATAATTAAAAGTTATAATCTTAAATTTATTTAGTTTAGAGTGAGCTATGTTCAGTGTCATTTAGCCCAGCTAATTGAGTTTAATGGGAGGAACTCAGGGAATTTCAGCAGCAAACAAACCACAATAGTCCTTCAACCACAAGATCATCGCTACACCCTCGACTGTGTTCATTGGGGACATTCCCAAAGGGGTCTCATATGTTGAGATATTTGAGTATCTCAAGGAACATGTCGGAGGGGACTTTGAGATTGTTCTTAAGAGGTGAGTTTCAATTTAAATGAAGAGTTTAACTAATTGATCATCGTTTTATAGGCCAGCATATAGATACTTCTACTTTGCATTCTGTAAATTCAACGATATCTATGTTGGTAAGACCATTCCATTTTGATTGAGTTTTAATTGAGTTTAGCAAGGAAGCTTCTTAAGGACATCAGATACCCTGAGATAAGGGGAAAAGTTTGCAGAGTCATGCCATATGAGAAGGATCTTATCTCTAAGAAGTTCGACTCTAAATCTTCTCTCTTTATCAAAGGATTCAAGAAGGACTGGACTCACAAGGACCTCTATGAGTTCTTCAAGGTATTTGGTGAGATAAGCAGTGCTAAGGTGTCCCTCAAAGAAGACCATCACTCAAGAGGATATGGATTCATTCAATTCTAAAGGGAAGAATCTGCCAACAAAGCAATTGAACAGGTAAATCTATCTATTCTTGAATAAAATTGATTGAGTTTAGTACGATGGAAAACCAATCAAAGAAGGAGAGGAGATTTTGAAGATTGCAAAATTCCTTAAAGGAGATTAGAGAGTTTCAACCAAGAACTTATTTAACAATCTCTATGTTAAGTAATTCCCTAAGGCTGACTTATCGAGTGATGAACTTCGAGTATTAGTCAAATAATCTTAAATTTATATAGGATTTATTTTCTGTATACGGTAAAATTAGCAGTGCTATTATCATGAAAAACGCTGATGGAAGCAACAAGGGATTCGGCTTTGTTTGTTTTGCCGACTCTGACTCAGCAATGAGAGCCCTTACTGACTTGAACGGCAAGGATGGCCTCTATGTCAAGAAAGCCCTAAAGAAGGAGCAGAGAGAAGCTGAGGTTAAGAAACAGAGCGAGAAATTCAAAAAGTCAATGCAGAAATTCAACCTCTATGTGAAGAACTTTCCACTAGACACCACTGATGATGAACTCAAAGAATTCTTTGCCAGATTCGGAGAAGTTAACAATGTCAAAATCATGAGGAGCCAAAGAGTGACTAAGGTCACTACAAATGCAGCAACTGAAGGAGAAGAGACATTTAAGGAACAAGAGTAGAGTGACAAATATGCAGAAGAGGGTAAACTCCCAGAGTCACTTGGCTTTGGTTTTGTAAGCTACACTAATGCAGAATCTGCTGCCAGAGCAAAACTTGAGACAAAGACTATGCTGTTCAAAGGTAAGATTCTTTTCGTGAGCCAGTTTGAGACAAAAGCTGTGAGACAGTCTCATTTGGAGGAGACCAGAGATAAGGCCCAATTCGATAAGTACAAGAAGAATCTAACCACATCTACATCTTCTCTAAATAGCCAGAGAGTTAACTAAAATCTTAATGGCTTAGGTCAATTGACTTTGCTGTAGCTAATCTAATTTGTATTGTGCCTCAAAAACTTTGGAATGGACTAGCTTTAAGCAATACTGCAGAACCCTGACATGCTTTAAAACCTCTCTAAGCTGAATCTTTCAAATTTAAGCATGCCTAGTTCTGGTAATAGAAATCATCATTTCAACAGCAACTTCAATAGAAGAAGAAATTTCCAAAACTAGAGGTTCTAAAACTAGCCTAGCCTCAATTAGAATCTTTCAACTGGAGCAAATCATCAGCAGATGAATTCTTAATAGCCAGTCTAGATCAATCAAAATGTCCCTTAATCTGTTGCGAATACTTATAAGAACTATAATCTGAGAGGCTAAGGTTCCTACAGCAATCAGCCATCTAATGTCCCTCCTCCAATGCCCCCACCACCTGTTGTGAATGATCAAGTCAAGTAATAGACTGCTATAAATTAAGGCAACTAGTTCCAGTAATTGAATACTTAGTTTGTACCACCATAGCCATTTGTAATGCCCTTTAACTAAATGATGATGCCTTAGCACTATCAATAGGCCTTTGACCAGACTCAATCAAATACCACTCAGATAAATCCAGCCTTCATGTAAAGTAACCCAATTTTCAATTGGGGAAACTTATCAGCATCTCAACAGTTGGCAATCAATAAAGTTATGGACAGATATTTCAGACTGACTGGCATTAGATCTTAGATGAACGGTGGCTTGCCCAACAATATTGTCTTCAGAAAGGATGTAGAGAACATTTCGGAGACTGCTGAATTCATGTCTCCCAACACTGACTTCAGAAGGAAAAAGGAAATGCTAGCTGAGATTCTAATTGATTGGGTTATTTGTCTAGCTGATGAGTAAAATATTAGCTTGGTTGATTTAATATAGGAAAAATTCAAGGAAGATTCTTGGAATGATCATGAATGTTCAGGATTAAGGCTTTAATGACTGCATATCAAGTTTGGAATTCTTCAGATTGAAGGTCAAGGAGGGGGTATCGTTGATCAATGCTTAGAATGCCAGCAAGTCCTCGTCATCAAGTTCATCAGATTCATCTCAGGTCTTGAATGGAAACGGAACTCAGAACCAGTTGCAGACTTAAGTTAGCTTCCCCTTGCAGTTATAAGGACAGCACCTTATCTAAGTGAGCGAGTATACAGTCATCCAACAGCAACAACAGAATTCTGCATTCTAAGGAAATTCAAGCATCCTAAGCAGCAGTGGAGTTGCAGACATCAGCAACAACACTGTCTGAGACTGCAGCAATGTTAGTGCTTCATTACCTGAATGATGCCTAACCTCATCAAAACCTTATTTATGCTTTCACTTTCACTCATCATCAAATAATCATCATTAATCATCATAAATTAGAAACTTAATTTAAAAATTTAAACAAAAAGATAAAACCAACTTATTTTACTTATTATCTGAATATCTTGCTTGTTGGGGTTTTGGGGTTTTGGGGTTTTGGGG